AATAAACAAACTTAGTTTATTGTATTATTACTTAAAAAATATTTACTCTTTAATTTCATATAATTTTACATTTCTTTTTAATGATAAAGTTTTTTATAGTCTTTCTCTATTTCTTTCTCTTACATGTCTTAAATATTTTTGAAGGATAAATAGATTTTTCTGAAATTAAAAATTAACTGTTGATAATTTTTACTATTCTCCTTACACTCGTAACAATGTTTTTAAATAGCCTATTCCTTCATTTCTTCGGATAAAATAGTGAAATAGAATAGTGTAAGCAGAGAAGCCTCCTTCTTCTGTTTAATGCTCTGAATCAAGAACGTGGAAGAACTGGGTGAAAGAATGTAAAGGGTTAAGGTTGAGTGAGTGAGAAAAGTATGGAGGTTAACAGTTTTTGTGTTGGTGCGTTTTTAGGTGTGGTGCGAGTTCACATATGATAAACAAAGAATAAGAAGAATCATACAAACCTTGAGTTTCAACCACTGACCATTTATTCTCTTTTGTATAGTGACTAATGAAACAAAGTTCTCAATGTCTTTTTGCTATGTTCATTTTCTTTTTCTTGGTTCAAAAGTTAGGTTAAGTCAGTATAATCATCGTTACAATAGTTAGTCTCAAGTCAGCCTTACGTAGAGTTGGAACAACCAAAGAGAAAGTTTGACTTACTTCATAGGTTGAGGTTTTAGAAAATACTTGAGAGCGCCGTTCGTTGAAAAGTGAAAAGAGAGTCCAGTTATCGATATTATTTCATTTTCCCTACAAAAGAACTAAGAAAAATGCAGTGAAGCTATCTGATTTTTTTTTGTTCTGTCTTCTTAGATATGGAAATCCGATGAGGGAATACAACCAAAACATTAACTCTGGATTGAAAAGACTTAGCATTTCTAATGTTATAAATATGAAGCAAAAAAAAACAAAAACAACAAACAAAAAAAAAAAAAAACAAAAAAACAATAGCAACAACAAAAACATCGACCTTCTGAATACAGATGAGGGATTTCTTAAATACTGAAATTAAAAATAAAATTCTAAGAAAATAAATAAATTTTACATTATTGCTTATTCTTAATCATTAAATTAAGATGAAAATTAGTAGTTCTTATCAATGTTTTCTTATTCGGGAAAAAAATTCCTGTGTATTTGCTTAGAAATGATTTTTTTTCAAAAATACCTAAAGATAATCTAATCACTGCAAATTGTAGGGTAATTTGTGTGAATTTGGAAAAAAATTCAGTTCACTGTAATATTGCTTGTATTCAAAGTAAACAGTTCAAAGTTTGTGGAAAAAGCGCGTGTGACATTTGAGTATCTGTCGCTTCGATGTTTGCCTACGTTAGTTTGCCTTGAATGAAGGAAATAGACTGTGGTTATATTAAAAACGATTTTAACTTATAGTTTGGTCTTTAGTTGAAAGTCATTTTATGATGTGTCATCACGTAGCGTGTAGCTATTTCGGCTGATTTTCCCCACTCTCTGTTTCTTAATTATTTGTTTTTTTTTTATATAAGCAGTATAAGTCACGTGATAGGCTCCAGAAGATGTTTCAAAATTTTGGTGCAACTGTACCGTTGATCAGGTCAAATTAAGGTCAGATGATATTTTTGAACCAAACAAATTACGTTATATATTTTAATTTGGAGTCTATGTTTAGTTTAATTTTTTTAAGTTTTGAGAACAATATAGGGTCTGGATCCTATAAAATAAAATAAAACATAATAAAGTGAAGAGTCATGTAGAAATATTTAAAATTATTTTTAAAGGGTTCTGAAAAAACATTTGTCATTATTGCATATTTTTTCATCAAGATGTTAAATTTTTAATGACAATGAATAATGTGAATTTCTTAAGAAGAGTAAAAAAAGAATCTTAAGTAGTCACCTTCAAAGATTCGCTAAAAATGAGCATGCATGATGAACAAAAATGTCCCAAATAATAAAAACAAAGTTTTATCGTCAAAATCTTTATTAACAGGAAAAACTAAGGGATTTTTATTATTATTTAAATATATTTTTTAATCCTTTATAGAACCTTCGAAACTTTGGTTAAGAAGAATGTTTGTTTCTTTCGTCAACAGGGAACCATAAATTATGGGAAATTTAACGTTGGAAATACTTACAAAAATCAGATAATTGTCGGATTTTAATGAAATTTTCAGGACTTATTCAAAAATTATTTTAGAAATGTTTCTTCTTTTAGAAAATATTGGTAAAAATATATTTTACATCTGTTACCCCGCCCACCCACTTATTTAATTTTATGAAATTTCGAGATTTGATTTTTGTAACGCTTATAATGTTTATTAGTTGTTATAAGGACAAGTCTTTAGAAATTAAATCATTAAATTTGTTTTATCAAACGGGTCCCCACTGTTCTGAATCATAAAAAAAAAAAAATGAAATAAAACTAAGACATTATTTAATTAGAAAAGATTTTAATTACTTTCATGAATGAGAATATGGACACTGTTGTCTTAAGAAAAAAAGGTTTTCGAAGAATAATGAAATTTTACAAGAATTTTTTAATTTAAAGAAAAAAATTAATTAGAATTAATTAGAAAGTTTTAAATCTTTTAAAATTCTGTATTAATTTGTAGATGTTAAGTGATATTGTTAAGTAAAATCTATATTTAATTAATCATACATGGAAAAGCTTACTCCACTTCAACGACCTCCAGTATTTTAAAAAGAAATTTAAATTTAAATTCGGTTTGAAATACAATGTATTTTTACTTATTGGAAATATTAAATTTAGCTTAAAATTAAAATAAAAGATTCAAGAAATATTTTTCATTTTTAAAATGCATTTTAAACATTAGGCATCGCTTTTTTTAGGTACATTATCAAATTATTAATTTAGGCATGACCAATTTTACAAATATGGATTCTGTTTTCACTTTCAGATATCCAAAAATAATATTTAGAACTGTATTCGTGAGATTAAAAACTTTACAAAAATTAGTTGATATCAAGAACAGGTTTGAAGAATTTTACAGCCCAAATTTCGATGGTGTTTCTGAACCACCATAGAAAACAAAACAAAATCCATTACATTATTTTAAAAATTTATTTTTAGCAACATTTTTGAATTAAATTATTATTTACGTAGAGTAAAGATTTCAAACAATGAGGGAGTTTTGATTTGTTGAATTGATAATCCCTAAGCTTTTTCAAGCTGATGAAAAAGATTTTTCGTCACTAGAGGTTTGATTAGTCGATGAGGGACGAGTGAACGTATTTAATATTTTAAAAATGCTTAAAAACTTTATTTCCATACGAAAATTTATTTTTCTTTTCATGCGGATTAATTTTTTAGGCTATTATTATCTTTCAACAAAATGTGACTTCAGTGATATTTTTAAATTATTTAAATATGGCGGTATGAATTCGATGAATTTGTCAAAAAGGGAATATTGGAATTAATTTATTTGCTGATTTTTTATTATTTTCTTAAATTTCTTTGGTACCCATTATTAATTAACCCTAACTTTCATCATGGACACTGCATATCCCGGTTTCAAAGTCACCCTTTGTTACTAAGGCTCACTCAACAAAAAAGAATAGAAATTAATTTCTCTTTTAGTAGTGCTTCTAAAAACTATTTTGGCATGTTTTTTTTTTAATTAAAAATGTCACCATAGACAATATGCGGGCCCCTGGTATCGAGATCGGTAATTTCTCCACATCTTTTTCTCAGGCATGATTGCTGCTGCATGACCTAAAAATTTTTTATCTATCACACTCAACAGAAGTATATCACACTTCCATTTTCAAATTTTCCCTACATACTCCAATTCAAAAAAACTCTCTCCACCCATTGTCAACAATAAATGTTAAAGGTAAAAAAAACAAAAAAGGTAGGGAAGAGGCGGAGAAATATTACGATAGTCAGTAAAGTTTTAAAAAGTATTAATAAAATAGTACGTGTTAAGATTTTTTTTAATAAGGATGGAGGAAAAAAACGCAAATGGTCAATGATGAGAAATTCGTATTGATTACCTTTTTTTTTTATTATTATTAAATACTCCCAGTTAATTTTTTTAAATAAAATAAAATAAGAAAAATAAAATGAGTAAATGAAAAAAACAGTTGATGGTTTCTGAATAAGTGGGTTGATAGGAATATTAAGTTATTAATAAATTTTAACTTAAAGACATTAATTAATCAAGTTAATGAATCAGATACTCTTTCAAAAATAAAAATTGGTGTCAGAGTGAAAAATTATTTTCAATAGGGAACACTTGTTAGAGTAAAATTGAAATATGATAAAGAAAGGATCATAAAGGAACTGTACTTTTTTGTCACAAGCCACAAACCTGGAAATGAAGCTTAAATCGGGGCGGGGGAATCAAAATTAAACATAGAAGAGAAAATGTAACAACATTTCATAATAAATTTAAAAACTAAGTAAAAAAATAAATTAGGAAATTAAAAAAATAAAAGTTACAGTTAGTGGTAATAAATGTATTTTTAGGATAAATAAGCAGGTAACAAAAGAATACATAGGTAAAAGGATAAAGTCAAAAGAGAAACTAAGAAACAGCCAATATGAGTCTGTGTGGGATATGGTAGGAAGATAAGAATTAATTCATAAAGGTCAGAGGAAGAGAGAGAATAAATTAATAAGGCATCAGATCTCTCTCTCTCTCTCTCTCTCTCTCTCTCTCTCTCTTTTTTTTTTTTTTTACTTCACTTCTTCTTAACTGAACAAGCTATTTATATTTCACACTTCCGACTCTACTTGTTTACCTTTTCTTTCTATTTCAGTCCCAACCTTTTCCTTTCTACCTTGGAGTATTTCCTATTATCTCCTCTCTCTTATTTCTACTTATTCCACCTCCTCCTGTTTTCTTGTTCCTCTTTCCTCTCCTGTACTTGACAACAGGTGTCGCCACCACTAATTCCAGGTGTAACAACATTTCAACTCCTCCCTAGTATTTACCCATAATTTTATGTTGGACTTTTGACACTGGGACTGAAAATACAATTTTTGTGACGATAAATATGGGTGAGTACTAATATCGGCCTAATATTTTTTCTCTGGAAGTTTTATCGCTTAAATTGGCCGATTCGTTTAAAATCAAGGCCGACGAGTGAGTAGGTAAATCTAAAAAAAAAAATCAAAGTACTTGGAGTAAGGAAAATAAATATTGGATGCACATTTTTTGCTTCTGTTATGTATCATAATGAAACAATATAATTTTTTACTCAATTTAAGTTAAACTTAAAGAATGTATTTTTTCTAAACATAAATCTTACGGTCATAAAACTTCATTATAACGGAAAACAAAACTTAAAAAAAAATAAAGCTGTCTTTTGGACAGTATGATATTTGTCACCTACAATTCTTAGTTTTATTTTCTAAATGACTTCATTTTTTAAAAAATTTAACACCAAAAAGTTCTCTGAAATTCTTGCTCAAAAACGAACAAAAATGCTAAGAAAATAAGTTTTTTAGGTCATTTCTAATAAGTCAATCAAATGTCAACGAACAACGAAAGGGAGCCACTTATGAAAATTTAATATTAAAATCTGCTTAAAGTTATTTGCTCTAAAACAAAAACTTTTTTTCTATGACATTTAGTAGTTATTTTTTTATTTTTAACCGAATTCACTTGTTAACTTTTAACAACTTAAGTTATTTAAAAAAAAGTGCTATCATTGATGTTATAAGTGTTTTTGTTCGCTGGTGAATCGGTTAAAAAAATAATTTCATAAACTGCAAAAAACATAAAACTAAAAGAAAAAAGCCTAAAAAAGTCTCAACGGTTAAAAAAACAAGTGCGAGATTTAGTGACTACTTTTTTTTTTTTTTTTTTTGTAAAGTTAGTTAACAACACTTAACTACATCTTTAAAATCCTTTCCAAACACAAAACTTGCTATTTTTTAAATAAATCTTCATTCTTCAGTGTCAATTTTGGATTTTTAACTTGTTACTTGATGGATAAGAAGTGTACAGACTACTAAAAGGGGAAAAAACTAAAAGAAATTGATTGTGAAGTGAATGAAATGTCTCACTTTGATAAACATTAAGGGGAAAATCAACCCATATTAAAAAAAATTACTCTTAAAAACCTTAATTTTTTTTTTGTCTGGTTTTTAAATTTGCATAATTCATGAATAAATAATTTGGTTTCTCATGTCTGAATTGTTTAAATGAAGTTTTAACTAAAAACTAAAACTAAGTATCATCAATTTTATAATTTTTAACCAATTTTCTTATTTACTTTGAAATTGACTTTTCATTAAAACCCGTTTAAAAGGAGATATTTGTTGAAGATGCGGGCCTATTAATTTACTTACAATACATTTTTTTATATTTTAAAATTTAGACCACAACTCGTCTTGAAATGATGTATTGTAAATTAAAAGGTGAGAGAAATTGTAGTGTATTCAATTGTTTTTGTTTTTTTACTAGTCACCTAAAAAATCTTTCAAGGGATATGCGTGTTTCTGTAACTAACATAGAAAAAAAAAAATTACCTTTAAAAGAGAGACTTATTTTTATTTCTTTTTTTTTTTTTTTTTTGCTTTTTATTCAAATTAATAAATAAAATTGCTTGTGCAGAAGGACGAAATGGTTTCCTTTTTTTAATCAGTCAGTTTAGGCGACAATTCATAAAATTTTTTTACCAACGAAAGTTACAATTATAAAAATAAAATCAGTGATACTTTCTTTAATGATTTTGTTACGATGATCAAATTATAAAAATAATATTTACTGGTGCCACTAAAAATGTTTTTAAAAATAAAATAATTCCAATAAATTTTATTCAAGTTAAAAAGAAAGCAGTTGGTAATATCACTTCTTAACTAACACCAAGTCAGCGACCATAAGTGTCCTATTTAAAAACAAAACAAAAAAAATCGTTATTTTTATCATTTTTTGTACTATTGATCGTACTTTTACTAGTTAAAAGTTAAAAATACATTTTTGTGGAAAACAATATAAAAAATGTATTTTTTCAGGAAAAAAACTTTTTTTTTTTTTTTTTTTTAATTGTTCATCCACTTCCGTTTTTTGTTGGTTGACACATTAACAATCATTTTTTGTGCATCACTAATTGTCGTTAAATTTAAACTCTAAAGTTTCTTGACAAAAACGTTTGGTATCAGGAAGTGAATCTAAAAACACGGATCAATTTTTTCGGTTATCAACAGAATATTGATTGGGTCTAAAAATTCAGTTCCGGGAAAAAATGATCTGTGTTTTTCAAATTTGCTTTACAAAGGTTTTTGCCAAAAAAGGACAAGCAATCGAGAAGATTGCTTTCGATGTTTAAGTGGGAATTGACATTTTCAGCAAAATTGAAAATGATAATTTTACTTTTTTAGCTAATAACAACAGTAGTAAATTTTCCGCCTCTTTTTTTTAAAACAGTGAAAATTGAAAAAGTTAAATCTACTTTCATAATCATATTCCTTGTCTTGTCAGTAACATTAAAAAATGTAATATTGATTTGCTTGTGAGCAAGTTGATCAACAATCAACATTATTACCTAACATCAGCCTGCAACTTAAAGATAAATAACATTTATATTTTACAATATTTTTCAACATCTTTTTCTCATGTCAGTGTACATAATTCACTGGTGAATGTTACTCACAGAGGTTTGAACATTATAGTAAAATTTTCAAAATTCAGAAAATAACTGGGTCAAATTACAGACTTATTGATCTCTACTCCCATAATTCAGCGATCATCTAACTGACCTTAGCCACTCAAAGTTGTCAATAAAATTGGAGCATTTCTTTATTTTTTTTCCCCCTCATACTCTTGTCCAGTGTTTGAAAGTGTAGAATTTATCCTTTCTGTTGATATTCATATTAATGTGTATTCAATCATCATTTGTTGATATAGAGAGTGTGTGGTTAAAAGTAAGGAATTGAAACAAGGTGATAAGAAATCTGAACAAAAATAATTTCTGTCAAGTATGACAAGCAGAAGCAACACTCATCAGCAGATAGGATAAGTTTATGGTTTCAAGTTCTTCACAGAGAATAGCCTAGTGGATTAAAATATTGTTTTGTGAATTCAATTCCTGGGCTGGGCAGTGTGTACTTGGATTTAGTGGAAATGGGGTGAGAATTAACTGAGCAGTACTAAAAATAAGAATTAGAAATAGACAGTGAAATGAGAACAATGTACTCCTATAGAATTTTAAATTCACCAGGTTACCCAGATCAACATACACTTGCTGAAGGGCACAACGGCCAAAACATGGTAACAACAACAAAGATAAGGATAGTAGTCTTCATGTAAATAATGGAATAGAGAGTTGAGGAGATAGCACATATGTACATGCTACTGCTTAGAGATGCTTCAATTAAAAATTGAGCTAATAATTCATTGGTCCCAACATAATTGCCAAAGGTAAGCATTGTTTGGACTGTTGGTGTTCCTCACCACTGTAATTAAACAAGAAAAGTTAAAAAAAAAAAAAAAAAAATTTCTACTTTGATAATTAATTGGGTAAAAACAAGAATTATAAATACTGATCTAGATTAGTGCCTAGTGAATTGGACTAAGATAATCATCTTAGAATCTGTCCCAATTAGCATCAGATGCTTTGAATAGGACAAGGGATAGTAATTATAAGGCTACAGTCAGTTTACATTACATCATAGGGTTAGCTTAAAAACTCCAATGCAAAACTAGTTTATACAATTTACCTACATAAATTGGACTTGTACGAGAAGAATATAACTGAAAAATGTCTGTCCTAGTAGCTTCAGTAAAAATTGGTAAGAAGCAAGATGGCAGTGTTCCTAAAAATTAAGCATATTGAACACTGGAAATCTATAATGATAATATGAAGGTAGACATGATTGAACATATCTGGACATAAAAACATCACCTTCTTTAGGAAGAGGCCTAGATAATACACTGACATACCAAATGTCAGTATCATGCACAACCTCCCAAGCCTGGTCAACTATAGCAATTTTGCATGCTATCAATTATATAAATGGTCAGAAAACCTTTGAAGAGAGATTGAGCCATGCTGTCTCTATAGTTAACCACAGCTCCCTGAAGTTTTGGATCTTGCATACTGATCTTGTCACCATGTCCCATAAATTATCTAGGTGAACATGGTGGTCACACCATTTGTTGGAAGTCACCAGAATGCTCCCCTAATCAATTATGGGTAAATTGGACCTAATGACATAGTGTATTATTTAGTTGGAATAACCCATTGTTGTTGGGGTACACAGAATGGAGGCAAATGGTCACAACACAGTTAACTGGTTTATGACCTGTTTAGGCAAACAGACTCAATCCATGTCAGATAAACACCTACCATGCCATTATAGAACCACCATTTGCCTGAATGATGCCTTGTTGACTACTGCATTTCATGACCACATGGTGTCTGCACCACATGCATCAATCTGAAGTTGGTTTTCACACTGATTCACCAGATGTTAGAGCACAACTGACATTGGTGTGGGTACCTCCATGATGTCACCTACTATTATCTTTATATACTGCTATCCCATGACTTTTGGCAAATCAGTATAGGTAATTGTTTACTTGAATAAGATTGTGTAAGAGTGAATGAAACTGCTTACATAAATCTGTCAAAAAGCTGTGTAAGCTTGATTAGTATAGAATTCGGTTTGTGCAAACAACTTGTGGATGATGAATCACTTTATAATTTTTAAAATCTGAAATGCTTGAGTAATTTCAGTGGTTTCATTTGCAAGTTCAAATTATATTTGTACTGATTTGGTCTTAGAGAATAAAAAAAGACATCTGATAGCAGATTTAAAAGAAAAATTTTTTAGTTTGTTTTAATGGGTTTCATCAACTTAGAACTAGAGATCTTTGTCACTACTTATGTACATACATCAATAAATCTGTGGCTTTGTGTGTATAGAATGAAGTTATTTAATAGAAAGATTTTTTTTTTACTGTTGGTTTGCAATTGCATAAATTTTCATCACAAATTGGGAAAGCTCTGGCATTGAAAGCTAGTCATAAACTTCACCACATTTAGAAATAA